CCACAGGGGTAAACACTGACTGCTGCTGCGGTTGGACACGGGGTCCAGTTCTTGGCTCTTTTCTATATGCGCGTGTATCTACACGCATAAACACATGCTTCTGCTGCATGTTTATGTGAAACCCTGCTCTTCTTTATGGCCCTAAAGACACGTAGCCTTTCATATCCAGTCTAATATGACATGAATTCAGACTGAAAATAACACTGCATGCTGGTGAACGGGTGGTTAAGACGCACACCACACAAACACAAACAGTGCTGGTCTCATTCCACCAGAGGCCTTTGTCACATATCCCTCTCCCTTTCCCCTTCTGTCCCGCTTGTCTCCATGCGGACAAGAGTCCAATAAATCCAAAACAGACCTCAAATAGCACCGTGTTATACAAATGGGGTATGTTGCTACAGGTGCCCATGAACATAATTGTACTCCTTTGAGGCAACTCTGGAAAGTTTCAACATCACAGCAGCAGTAATTTGCTCCTCTGTCCAGACATCCTCAAAGTAAACAGTAGAATTAACATTATGCTATGCTTCTCAAGTTACAAGGTACTTGCAATGTGTGTTTAAATGATTGTCCCACCAAGTGAAACTGCCAGATGGCGATGCCAGCGCGGTGGAATGGATGAGGACAGTACTTCTTTGACACAATGCAATATTTGGTTTGAACGCAGCTTTGCGATGCCAGCAGATGTGAAGGTAAATATGTTGCAAAATGCAAAAGCTTGAACAGAAATCTGAACTCGTATGTGTGGAGAAATTGAAAAGTGTAGCGTTCTTTTGCTCTGCTGTCCGCATCTATCGTTTAGATGAAACCATGCCCACTTCCATATGATGAAGCCTTAACTGCTGCCTTCCCATTGAAACAGCTCTCACGGGAAATATGTCAGTTAATATAGCTTGGAAAATAGTGATATGGGGCATTGAATTTGATGAATTTATTGTTTAACAGACCACAAATGAGACAAGAATTAGCTCGCTAGTGCAGCCCGCAGTCCCTCCCCTTTCTTTTTCCTTTTAACTAAACCTGCTTCTGTCACTTTTCATCAGTGTTCAACTGAGTACAAGATTCCTCCCAGGAGAGACTGCCATCTGAAAATGTGTCCCATGGCGGTCGGCTTTTCTCTCCGCCTTCGAGGGTGGCCGATCAGAACAGCCATTAACACTTTTGACTTGGTACATGCCAGGTCTTTTGTAGTACAAACCAGCCTTCAGTCAATATTGGCAGAGCTAAATATAGCATCGGACATTATGTTATCGATATTAGCTGTTATGACGCAACAGTACTTGAGACTATTAACGTCTCCAACTGTGCTGAGGACAAAGCTCCGTCACCAGGAGCCTTTGTCAAGTAAGTATAGTGCAACTGCTGGGTAAGCTGGTCTTGACCAAGCCACGCGCCTTCACTTACCGATGATGTAATCCGAATGAAAAGAGATTTACCGTACGACATGATGCAACAATCCCCAAGACTCTTGTGTCACACCTCTTGCAGGCAGAGAGACGTGTCAGGGAGAGGCACGCATTTTCTGACACGCCAGCACAACACTTTCTTCAAGCAATTCATTTACAGGCCAGACTTCAAAAAGAATATGCAATTTGGTATTCATTTTTACACAAGCAGAAAAAAGATGCGTGCACAAAGAAGCAAAAAACGGATTGCTGTAGAGTTTGAACTAAAAACAGCTATCGGGAAAGTATCATCGGTACGGAGCTTTGTGGATATTTGTGGATTCTTTTTTGCCGTCTCGCACAAATGGAAAACAGCTAAGTGAAAGTGCCCTCCAAAATAACGCTCAAATGGCGGCAGGCACTCTCCAAAGTGCTAGTTTCTCAAAGAGCTTATTGTCTTCTCATGTGTTATAAATTCTTAAATACTTGACCTATATTCTCTTGTCTTAGAGGGGGTTGGTGGAGCACTGGAACAGGAAACGGTGACACTGCAGAGTTGTTGTGATTTCTGTCAAACGTCACATCTTATATTAAAATACATGGTGCTGCCTGCAGCTGTGACGAATCCACTGGGAGAGCTTTGCTTGTAGTGCAGAGAAACAAACACGACCGGTTTTAATTACAGATTAATTTAAAAAGAAAAAATGAAACGGGACTTTTAAGTTAACTGTGGCAAATCTTTCAGCAGTCCTGATATGCATACCGACTTTGGTGAGTTTTCGGGTTTTGATAAAGCCCCAAAAAAAGGCGATTCATTTGAGAGAATAATAATAATAATACCTACAGTTTCAATAGGGACCTCGCGGCCCAACGTCGGTGCTCGGGCCCTAATTAGACTAATTGTCTGATGAATGTGATTTGAAGTTAGCTCATGAATGAGATTTTGAAGGGCTTTCATTTTGAAATGCTACATCAGAATGTCCTGGTTCTCTCTGAGTGAAACATTGAGGTGGTCTGCTATTAACCTGTCGTGAAATGATTTTGTAACTATGCACCATTTCCTCTAAAATCTAATCTGAAATTAGATGCAGCGCTGGACGTGTCACAATCAGGCTTTGCCTTGGGTGTTTTGTGTGGTTTTCTGTAGGTCCTCACTTCCTTCACCTGTCCCTAATTAGTTCATTCAGTGCACCTGCCAGTCACACTCTCCCTCATCAGCACAACTCTCCTCACCTGTTCTAGTCACTATTTAAACCCCTGTCTTTTACTCACTCACTGCCAGATCATTGTTTTGTTTCCTACCTACCCGCCCGTTTTGCTCTTCCTGTTCCCGGTTTCCCAGTCTGTCTGCCCTGTTTTTGCCCTGCCGTGTCCTGCCGGATTTCCCCCCTTGTCTCGTGAGTTATTAAAACCCTTTTGTTCACTACTCTGTCTGCATTTAAGTCCTCATTATGTCCCGTGACAGTACGGGCCCTCGCACCTTCCCGCGTCTCGGGGGTACTGGCGGGACGCCGGCAGACGCGGCCGCAAATGTCTTTGACCATCATACAACGCATCTCGGAGTTCAACGTATTTTTCCAGCGTGGTTGTGAAGTTATGAGTATTGAAAAACTAAGCCACGTCTTATGAAGTTCATTGGTCCATATCTTCTAAACGTAATGAGATATCAAACATCTTTTGATAAAATTGTGTTAAATAGATCCAATACTGATCCACAGCAAATTTAGTAGCAATCTGACTCGGCGTGTAGGAGGAGGTTGCAAAAATGGGTTTTTCACAAAATTCAAAATGGCGGAAAGTGTTGGTAGGCGGAGCTTAGGGGTCCAAGAGGCTTTTTGTAGACCTCATTTGGTTGCATGCCTGTGTAAAATTGAGTTAATTGGACATACGGGATGAGGGTCCTAAATTCTAGGGGGCGCTAGCGAGCAATTTTTTCATGTTCGAGCGTGGGACCCATAAAATATCAAATTTTTCAGCAGTCCTGATATGCATGCCGACTTTGGTGAGTTTTCGGATATGATAAAGCCCCCAAAAAGGCGATTCATTTGAGATAATTCCTACAGTTTCAATAGGGACCTCGCGGCCCGACGTCGGTGCTCGGGCCCTAAAAATACCTGTTCCCTCAAGTTTTTTTTAAATGTAACCCTCCGAGGACTTTAAACAGGAAACGTTTTTTCGGTGGAGCTGCTAACAGCACTGACATCTGAAACAGGACAAGGGTTTGTAAAGATAGTGTACTCGATATGCTGATATTGATCTAAACCTGAAAAGGGCGTGGTGTGGAGGTACACAAGTCGCATAACACTGAAATACTCAAAGTACAAGTACCTGAAAACTGTATTTCAGCACAGTGCTTCAGTAAACGTACCACCAATGAATCCTATATCTACTTTTCTCTCTGAGGCGGTGAGCATGACCAGAACTGTTTTCAAGCATGAAGTATTTAGGGGGGGGGGGGAGACACGGACTCTCATAACTCATCTCTCTCAATGACACAAGTCAGTGAATCACGACTGAGTGCACCGGGTTGTCCTATAGCTCCTTGAGCTGCTGAAGTCACAAATTGTATTGAGCGTGCAGTCCACGCTTTGTGTTTGCATTTCCCGCAGCGATGACAAAAGAGACAAAGCTTTCAATAATCGTGTTCTCCTGGTAAAATGGCATCTTTGCATTACACTCTATCAGCTATCTTACAGTTGTAGTTGGGAGATTATTCTGTATGTGAAATAAATAAAAGGGAAAATTATGAAAGTCCGATCATAATTATGGAATCGTATGGGCGTGGAGAGGATAAAGTATGTTTATCCTTAACTATTATATATAAGAGATCATTTTTATTTATCGGTGTTAGCCTTGATATAAAAAAAAGGAAAGAAAGGGATGAAGCTGGATAACAGATAAACCATTCGGCTCTGCAGCAGCCGCCTTCCCATTTTTTTGGGCTGTGAAAGACGAATCTCAAGAGATGCATGAATGAAACCATACAGAGGGACGGCTGTGTTATAGATGCTGCTGCTGTTGTGCTCGCGCTGTACGCCACTAAAGATGCATTTCAAGCTTTGACACAGGTGGCAATATATTTTTACACCTGCAGGTCAGCTGCCAGCACCATGAGTAAGCAACACAAGACATCTCTTGATCTCCTAAAAAATAAGAGGCCCAAATAGAGAAGTAGTTATTAAAGTTAGAGACATCCGTGGGAGCTTGAGAGGCTTTCACGTGGTCCTCAGGTAAAAATATTGATCTGCTGATTCGGCCCTTTCCCACGGAACAAAGGTTGCACTAAAATCTGAGACAATGTCAGGATTCTGGGTTTAGCAGTTTTACAATTGTCTCTTTTTTTGGGGGGTCCTTAATATGTGAAGACATGAGAGGTCATGCAGTAGCAGAACAACAACACACACAACATGACAAGGGTACCTTCGGGAGAGGAGCAGGAGAGACTGATTCAGGTCGAACAGGACAACGTGTGGACAATGTGTATGAAATGTCTTATCAAGAGATGATCATCTCTTGATAAGACATTTCGAATAACTTGATCTGCAGGAGTGCCACAGTCTCATACCAATCATACCTAGTCTTCCTCCTCCACCTCCTCCTCCTCCAACATACCTCTCATTGGATTCTGGATCCACAAGATGCCGCCGATAAGGTGAGGGGACTGGCCGAGCATCCCGTGTCACTGTCGGTCACTTTTCTCACCTCTGTACCGTGCCTGAGCGAGCGCCTCACCGCCTTCCTACCTATACCGCCTTAACCGTTTTCCCGACAATCACGGGGAGAAGCGGGTGACTTCCCCGGTCCACATGTTACACCACCTGCTGCCAGATGAGCAGCCTCAACCGGAGACCGGTGTTGTGGAACGACGCTGAGCGCGCGCGAAAAGATATCTGGGTATTATCTAAGATAAATTCTCAGAAAGAAAAAAAGAGTCCGTGATGTTAATTTCGGCGACACTGCGGGGCTCCGGAGAACAGAGAGAGAGAGTGCACGGCACGCCCGGACACAATTATGCAAGAGAAGTGGACGCTCCACGGTCGCAGACCTGTTAACCAGTGCATGCGAGCCTGTGTGACCGTGTGCCATCACAGTGAATACCAAGCATCGTTTCCACAGTGTAGTGTAACAACAACAACAGTAGAAGATGACCGGGACGTAATGCGGAGCGAGCAGAGGCTGCTCCATCAGAGGTTGTCACAGGTGAACCCGACTGCGTCTGGGCTGTAAGCCGTGCACACACCTGCTATCATCACGGCAACTCCAACTAATGTCTGCATCTTTAACAAAACACAACACAGTAATGGAAGTGCCGTCGCGGACGGCGCGAGGCGAGGAGCCTTACCTTCGACGGCCATAGCGCTACTCCTCAGATGTGAGCATCACTCGCGAGGGGAGCAGGCGAAAATGTAAAAGTCAACGCTGCCTCTCACATCGCACCTTGTTCGGCGTGTTGTCACTTGGCTGCGGGCGAGCCGGAGCGCACATCTGCTGCCGCGCCTCAAAGAATGCCGGGAAGTGTAGGCTTTCTGGGGATGCGAGCGGAAAGAGAGTTTCGTCAGTATTTGCAGAGAAGGCAGTTTGAAGGCACCTCACTCTCCCTCTCCCTCTGTCTGTCTGTGTGTGTGTGTGTGTGTGTGTGTGTTTGCACGCGCGAGCACGCTCATGGAAAATCACCAAGCACACAAATAATCCTATAAGTAAGGCACAGGGATGGCAAAAAGAATACTTTACTGAAATAAAAGTAACGTTCCTTTGACCAAATTTTACTTAAAGTAAAAGTAAAATGACTTGTGTAAAATCTTCACTGTGTTACGTTTTTAAAGAAGACATTTAGTATTTAAAATACAGTGTATAAACATTTCAATGTGTAAGCTAAACATCACACCATTGAGCCCGTATGTCCAAACCAACAGTATATTTCTAAAGAGGGCACTTGGCAGCCTGTGCATGCAACGGATTATCAATTATACAACCATCCTCCTCAGTGTAGCCTGACGAAACTTATTTATAAAAGAAGGGGGAAAAAACAGACAATTAAACAAAAATGTCTGACAATCTTAGTGTCTTAGTGATCACCAGTGGGTACAACATGCTAAGCCACATAAATTGAATAGCCTGAATAGCAGACGAAATGTAAAGTTAGGGGGCTTCCACACTTTCCACTCACCACCCTTGCACGGACCACACCCAACTCTGCCTTCATTGGGATCTCAACCTACAGACCTTTAAGGTTTTATGATTGCGTCTTGCATGGTTGTGACGCTCGTGGTGTTAAAAGCTGTCCACGGAAATATCAACACCTGGCACTACTGAAAACTGCCTTTGTGGAAGTTCTTTCCTACAGTAGGTGTCTCCAGGACCACATTTTGCCACAATGGCAAAGGTCACCTTGCAGTGCGCAGTTCATTCTCAAAGCATAATATAACCAGTCTACTTACTGTAGTCTCTCCCTGTCCCACTATAACCAGTCCACTTACTGTAGTCTCTCTGTCCCACTATAACCAGTCCACTTACTGTAGTCTCTCTGTCCCACTATAACCAGTCCACTTACTGTAGTCTCTCTCTGTCCCACTATAACCAGTCCACTTACTGTAGTCTCTCTCTGTCCCACTATAACCAGTCCACTTACTGTATTCTCTCTGTCCCACCACTCCCTGACGTTCTGCCCCACTGGGCTCCTCAAAGGTTTCTAACATTTTGAGCTGAGTGAGGCTCTGCAGTCACTGTGACAGGCATGAACAGTTCCAATCAGTAGAAAGGTCTAACTTGCTGAAGGTAAAAGTTCCATAGTGAACACATACGTCACCAATGGTCACTGGAGAGTCCACCATGAGCATTTTAGCATTTAGCATGTTAGCAAGACCCAGAATGCACCTGTTGAACGATCTGGATCACATAGTGTGCTGGCCGGGTGTGGCATGGTGATAAATTAAGGCAGATGCAACTTTTTTTCTTATTATATTTAGTACAATGATGCTAACTTTAACATCTAATGACACTGTTATTTATTATATTGCTTAATAAATAAATTGCAAGAAAATGCAACAAAACTGCGCACACACACATACACACATGGTAACTAACAAGAGAAATCAGAGAGGTTTTCATTTGACTTTTGCGCATGGACACAGATGTGATGGTCATCAAGCACTTTCTCCAAGGGAACAGGGCCAAAATACCCAAAAGCACCCAGATCTGGATCATATTCTTGGTTAGTTAGAACAACCAAGTTAAAAAAACACCATCTGGTGGAATAGTTTAAATATAATACATACGGCCAGCAGCCGATTAGCGTAGCGAACAGATAGCCTGTCTCTGTTGAAGGCAACACCTCTAAAGCTCGTTATTTCGAATCACTCCTCACTTGGTTCAGGTGGAAAACCTGTCTACCATCTACTGGAGGTTCCGGTTTGTGGATGCGCACCCTTTATGCACTCCACTGGTGCAATGCGAGAAACAGAAAGTAGCTTTACAACGAATGTGTCTGAATGGGCATACCATAATTATCAAGTCTTCAAACTGGCAGCACCACTAAAGACCGTAAATCCTCTCTGGTATGCTGAATGAACTATATACTTTCAACATGACTCACCTACTCTGTGTCAATTGAACAAGCAACTTCTCTTCCTTGTCTGTAACGTGTGATATCATTGTGACTCGCCTGTGTGACGTTGCTGACACAAAGCCAGTGTACCCATGTCATGAGGTCATTGCATTGAAAGTGAGCACAAGGAGGAAGAAAGCATGTGTACCACCTGGGAGTAAGTCATGGGTAGAATATGTCCAGAGGAAGGCACGGAGCACAGGCCAGGTAGTAGACGGATAGACAGAGGGATCCAGCATGCTCACAGAACTGCTTCATGGTTTTTGATTGCGACATTTCTATTACTGATATCCTGCAGCGATGAACAGATAATGTAGGTCACAGTACGAGGAAGTCTGAGCGTTGTTTCCAGCACATATTTCTTCTGTGTGGTGCGTAACAGGTGTGTCCGTCGGTATGCAAACCCACAGCATGTTCTTGTTCTTTTGTTTTAATGTCTGCTCAGCCTGTCTGAGGGGTTTGTCTGTCTTTATCTGATAACCATCACGTACAGTAAGTGTGTATGTTTGTGTGTGTGTGTGTGTGCTTCATTTTCATTCTTGTGGTAATGAGTTTTTGAAGAGGGAAATATCATGAGTCATGAGTTCAAGCAGACTAAAAATAGAGACAAAGTGAAAAATGAAAAGAATATTATATTTTTGGGAATAAATGGCAATTGTTAAACAAGTATAACTATACTGTCCAATTTGTGTTAAAGGTAAGAAGTTAAACAACCAAAAACACTTATGTTGCAATGTAGATTTAAAAGGGTTTTTTTGTATTTGTTCAGGACCACAATGGAGGAAAGGTTTTCTTTTCTACAGACAGTGAGCCCTGAGACCTCCTGTCATCCCTAAACTGATATCAAACTAAAACATATATATATATAGATATATATATATATATATATCTATATATCAAAAACGCAAAAAGAAAAGCTCCACATTGGAGTCCAGATTAAAGGAATTCAATTAGCTTAGTTTATTATAATGACTGAAAAGAGGGAAACAGCCTAAAAAACAATCCCACCTATCAGCACCTCTAAATCTCAGTATGTTCTTTGTCGTTTGTTTAATTCGTATGCGAACAGAAATCTGAAAACTACGAGCTCAGATTTTACCAGGAGTCGCGTGCTTTAGGGGTAGATATAGCTGCATGTAACTCCACATTAACTTTAACTTGTTGCCAGGCTAGCTGTTTCTCCCTGTCTCCAGTCTCTATGCTAAGCTAAGCAAAGCTAATCATCTGCTGGCTCTAGTCAGGACACAGTGGTATCAATCTTCTCATTTAACCGTCTCTTTAAAGTTGTGTGGTTCCTGGTGTGATACAAGCAGACTAACTTCTCGGACTGACCAATCGCTGACAGAAATGACAAACATATTGGAGTCCGGATAAGATAAAGTCCCCTAGAATTGTACTACATTCAAATCCTGCTCACTGCTGTCTGTAGGTCCACAGCTCATGAGAGATAAAGTCTGGACACTTACAGTCGGTTAAAGCAGAGGCTGCATGGAGAGCAAAGAGCAAAGCAAAGACTGTTGCATAAATGATGATTGAGTCTCACCTGTCGGATTTGTTTCTTTCTCAATCAAAATACATCTTTAACGGAAATAACAGTTTCTCTGTTCGACCACTTTTGTTTGCATTATAATCATGGTCTGTATCTTTGGGATTAGTGGAAACCACAAATAAATATAAAACAATTTCACTTTACATTGTTTTATTGAAAATGTGTTCTTGAACAAAAAATAAACAAATTTATAAATAAATAGATTTATTTAAAAAATGTTAATGTTTTTTTTGTTGATACATGTAGTGCATGATGAAAACAAACAGCCATGGACCAGGACTGTAGTTGGAGTCTATTTAACGACTATAAACTGTCTTCAGGATATTATTAGGTCCGTCACCTGTACAGTACGCTGTTACAGGTGAAAACAAATCTTGATAATCCAGCGTCCAAGACTCATCACATCACCATGTCCTTATCAGGTCAAATCAAAATATCATGATCGACGTAAGATTACTCGTATCCTGAAACAAAATGTCGGCACTAGCATGAGAAGGACATTTAAACGCCTGCACATGTAGAGATACGGAGGAGGAGGAGGGAGAACATTTTTCATCATTAAATTGTCTGCAATTGTTTGAAGCGCCGATATCATACTTTTTAATAACAAAGTACAGAAATTATTAAACCTACTGTTGGAGCAACTTGGAGCTGCTCAGGCTCTTCCTGAACTTCTGGACATCGTTGTCAAAATGAATGTACATAGAAGGTAAAGGTTAAATCAGAAATCTGTACACTTTTTAGGAGAGCTTGCATTCATCGCAAGAATATTGTAAGGAGACGCCAGAAGTTTTCCTTTTCTCCCCAGACAGTCATAGCCAGCCTTTACATGAATCCTTACAGGCTCGGTCTAAAAGGCCACAAGATTTAAAAGTGCTGTGGTCTGCTCTGTTCCTCTGCATTGTGCCCGGTGCAGTGTAATGACTGCTGAGCTGCAGGTATTCAGGCAATGAAACCCAATCCGTGTGTGAATTACTGTGCTGCACTACACTGCAAAGCTGCTGGTTATTTGGTACATTAACACATCGGCTGGAAGTTTGTCATTTACATAAGCCATAAAGAAAGTGCAAAAGAGAATCAACTCAGAATGGAAACTTCAGCAGCCAAACGCTAGAGC